AAGCAAGAACAAATAAGAAACAATCGATGTGAACAAACAAACGAATTAGCACTTCCGATTCATAACAGTGACAAGGAGAATATTGATAATATTTGTGACATAAGATTCTAATTTAGATAACTCCTATTTTTTCTCGTAAACCATTTCCTAACAAATAATTCAATAATTTTAAAAATGTTAATCGTCATCAACCGATATTGAAATTATTGATATATAGAATTCGGATTTCATGGGAGAAAATTCGGATTTAATGCATGCAACAAGGATCATTCATTTTTAACGAAGCGATAAGAATTGCATGTCACAATAAAAATCACAATAAAAATTACGAGACCCCAATATTTTCCTCAAATTTCTCTTTTATCAATGTATTATTAGATATCAGCATAAATAACCTCAAACATCTTAATTCACATAAAACAAAATATTATATTAAATTAATTAATTTATCATTTAACATGATATTTAAATATTTTACATCTTTTTTAATTCCACAAAAATGCTACCAAGTTTCTTCCATAATGGCGTATTTATTCATAAGATATATATTAGGTCATCTAAAAAGTATCCACGGTTTATGTCACTAAATGGTGTTGATGGCCAACACATCTAGTGACAAAAAACCGCGGATACTTTTTAGATGACCCAATAAATTATACTAAATATTCATTTTACAATTATCCACAATCTCCGCTATTAAAATTTCGCGTTTCGTGGTTAAGAGATTTCTCATGATGCTCCATCTACAACTTTCCCTTTGATCACCACCCTGTAGAAACTCTTTCTTTCTCTTTCGCTTTCGTCAATTTCTCTTTGCATAAATTTTCTCAACGTCTCGCGAATCATTATATATCCTTGTTGCAAATCCTTCATGAAAAGTGCAAACGACAGTGCAAATTGCACGACACGCAAAATAACGATTTGCTGCCATCAATGCGGCGTATCTTGATTTCTTTTTTCAAAAAATCTCTTTAACGTATTGGAAATCACTTTGTATCTCTGTAGCTTCTTCATGATACATGCAAGAGACAGTGCGAATTGCGCGAAGAAGTAATTTAATACTACCGACGCGGTGGACACGGGACCGACAATGAGATCATTGCGAATACGGCTGGCTTCTCGTGTCACGTTTAACGCGCGTCTAACGTCGACGAGGCCTTCAAAACCACAATACTTTGCGAACCACAGTAGTCTGTGTCACAACAAGTGTGCAAACGCTTGGCTGATAGACGCGACGTGAGGCAATCCTACTTTCTGGGGCGGTATTGCCCACATCCCTCGTGCATTAATTGTGGTTAATTCGGCTTATCGGCTTGTTAGACGCTAGTCGTACGAGACAAGCTCGACGGACCGGTAAACGTGACGAGAATTGAGCACGTATTGCAACGATCTCACATATCGGACCGTATCTCGTATGTAAGCAAATTTCGATTTAAACCCGAAAAGAATTTCCGAAAAAACGCAATGTCCCTTGCACGTACCGAAAAGAAGCTGCAACAGAAAAATTAAATGATTAGCGAAAAATTATAGAGAATTATTGAAAAGAATCGTATCTCGAATTTACACAAATTTCGCGTAAAACCCAGAAATGTTTCCGAAGAAACTGATTTATTGCGTGTCATGAGGAAGCTGATGCAACTAAAATATTAGATGACATACAAAAAATTAAAAAAAATTTACAACGGGAATAAAATATTGAGAAAACCGAGACGGAGAAGCTACTAAAAAAAGGAAGTTAAATGGAATATGATGGAGAAAGAGAAAAAATAATTCTTGAAAAAGTCGATGGATTGGCGCTTTGATGAAAGAGAATTAGAATTGCTTTTTATAATTTTTAATTATTATAATTTTAGTTAATTTGTCGTTTCTCAATTTGAACACATATTAAATATGATTAAAACATATTGATTTTAAATTAATTAATAGTATAATCAATTTTTATAACAATTAATATACCTAATTATTTTTTATATTTCCATCTTTATGTCACACTATATGCAAACGCTGTTGTGACTTTGCAAATCAAAGTATTTCTTTAACATATTTCTATAACATTTAACGTATAGTATAACAATTATTTGCATTTATGTGAAGAAAAAAATCTTTTTATAATCTCGACACCGATCCCCGAGATGCAAAATTTTTTATGCATGAATATGTATAAATGTATTTATGTATAAACATGCGTAAACACGCTAAATGTTCATAAATATGTATAATTATATATAAAATATGTCCATACATCCCTCTTTTTTTTGTAAAATTACTTTTTAGTGTAATAATCATAATAATATTATAGTAATGTGAAAACATAAAAAATAATTAAAGAGATAATTTTCATATTGTTTGTTTTAGAAAAAAACAAGTTTAGAAAAATGTAAAAAAATTGCTCATACATAATAAGCATAATTTTATATGTAATTATACATAAGTAATTTTTTTACATTTCTTCAAACTTGATGTTTTCTAAAATAAATAATGTAAAAATTGCCTTTTTAATTATTTTTAATATCTTTACATTACTATTATTATTTCTATTATACAGAAAGTAATTTTACAAAAAAAAGATGTATAAACATGTACGGATTTCATATAAAATTATATATGTTTATGATTATTTATGCATTTTTATGTATATTTATACATAATTATACATATTCATGCATGATAAATTTTTTACCAGATACTGCGCGAAAAACCCTGCGTTGTGACTTATAAGCTCCTTATCAGTTACATTTATATCATTGTTATATCTAGTTGTAATGTGTATTATATGAAAATATCTGTTTTATAGAAAAATTTTAATGAAAAAATCGTTAATATAATTTAAAAAGTTCTTGTGTTCCGCGACAAATAACTTATGGGATTTATGTCATTTATTTTTCTTTATTTATTGTAAATTTATTTTGTCAATCAACAAAATGAATAAGTTACAATCTATTATGTTAAAATTGATGCTGTGAGTGTTTAAAAATTAATTATTTATAGTCATATGTAGTATTGCACTTTATATATTTATGTTTTATATTTATATATTTATATGTATACATATATTTATACACACACACACACACACACACACACACACACACACACACACAC